GAGAGAGAGAGACGCTTCGAAATTTCGCACACAGCCGAGAAAACAGCTCGCGCACGCGAGCGTGAGTCCTCCGTCGCGCGCGACACGCGTTGAACAACATCGTTGGATTGGTATTTATAATACAGCGACGAGCGCGAATCCAGGATGCGAGGTGCGGCTCAGCTCGTGTTTCTGTTTTTTCTGTGTTTTTGCCGATTCGCCACGTGTGACGGAGTCTCCTAATAGAAGTTTCTATTTCGCCGAATGCAACGCTTATGACAGCGGTTTTCTCTTGGAACTCACAACTCGCGTTAATGAAAGCAGTTCGTGGATAATTCGCCGCGGAGGCAAAAATTGATTGCCGATAGGACTGCGAGGTCAGATCCTCATTAACTGCGTTCCCTCTCTTCCCCTCCCCCTCCCACGTGCCGACGGGGGGAGGGATAATTACGCAAATAACCTAACACCGCGTAGCTCGTGGCTCGCATGCAACGCTCTATCTCTGCGCGATAAAAATAATTACTCTCTACGATTACTCCGCTTCTCCGCGCGTATTGATTGAAACCCTCGTTAGAGAGATAGGCGCGTAAAGCAGCCGATTCCGCTACAGCCTAATAATAATAATAATAATAATAATAATAATAATAATAATAATAATACGATAATAATGATAATAATAATGATAATAAATTTCGACCACGTATACGCTAATAATAAACGCGACGCCATTCCCTCACTCTCGAGCGTCTCGTCTACTTCAATCTACCACCCTGCCCCTTCCCTCTCCGTCCTGCCAACAGCGGAAATTACTTCAACTCTCCTCGCGCACTCGTTCGATTTCTAATTAAAGCGGTCCTTTTACGGCGGCGACTCCACCCGCCCTCCCCCGCCCCGCCTACCGCTACCTCCTCGCCTCTCAATCCGTTTCCTAACGCGTGATCATTATGAGACTGCCTTTTCGATTTCCCGTAATACGACGCGAACACCGAGGCCTCGCATTAGCGGCGCGCGGCTCTCGCCGGTAGTTCGCCACGGGAGCGAAATTGATTACCAATAGTACTGCGAGCACGGCGGGGCTCTCTCTTCCTCTCCTTCCCTCTCCTCCCTCTACGTCTATCCCTCACATACTCTCTCTCTCTCACACACACACACACACACTACACTCTCTCTCTCTCTCTCTCTCTCTCTCTCTCTCTCTCTCTCTCTCTCGCACACGCTCCCATGTCCGGGCAGTAATGATGTTTTGATGCGAGGACCCCGGTGCACCGCGCGTATCGACTGCAGTTAACTAATGGAAGCTCCCCGATAATTGCGAATGCCGTCGGAGAGTAAATGCTGCTAGCGCGACAGTAATCATCGTTACTCCGCTCGCGCACCCCCGCAGCGACCAAGGAAATCCGTTCCTCTGCCTCTCTCTCTCTCCCTCTTTTTCCCTGTCGTTTTTTGCCACTCACCGTGTCATTTTAGAAACGTTGCCGCGAGCCCGCGCACTTTTTCCCTCGCGGAGAAATCATCTCGTGAGAAACACTCGGCGGTTATGTAGCAGGCGGTTGAAAACTGGTTGCAGCAAAGTGAGATGTGTGTATGTACACTGTATAACAAGATACTATTACTATCTTGAGATAATTGTCGCGTTCTCCACGCCGAAAATACTCGTTCGGCCCCCCCCCCCCCGCCGTGTCTCTTCGACTTGAATTCGAAGTTTTTCACAGTCGTCTTTGCAAAGTCACCTCGCGTCGAATCGCGAGCCCCCCGAAACGCTATGCGGGGTTGAGTCAATATATGGAGACCGTGTGAGGGCCGCGTGTGTAAGCAAATACAAGCATTATTCATGTATGCGCTTCAAGTGCACTAAATTTAGCCGCTGCTACGGGGGAGGTCATGCGGGAGACACGCGCGCGCCTCAATCCGGCGTTGCGTTTTATGCCTTTTTCTCGCAGAAACGTGTTATATGTTGTTGGTTCCCCCTTTCCTCGTAAAAAGTAACGGCGATACCGAGGTAAGCCCGGAACATCAGCGATTTGTCAATAATTCTCGCGCGCCCTGCCCACCGCGAATCCGCTTTCCGATTTCCGAGGCGTTCGATTCGTTCCGCCGGTTTCTGATGACGAGAGGAGAGGAGTGAGTAGCCGCAAATTCATTTCTTAACGTAGCAATTCGCTTCTACGTTAAGCCTGAAAATTTCAGGGTCTAATCCTGGAAATTCGAAGAGTGACCGATTAAACAGCATGTCATATCGCACATGCCAAGTTGGGACACGGGTCGCGATGATGAAGCGACCTCGGTCCCCCCATTCTCCTCCCTTCTATACAACGAATGGCCGCTCGCTGCTTCCTCAGCCGCGGGTCCGTCTCGTCGCGAGAGAGCCTTCCCTCGGATCCATAATCAAAACTGCATTAAAATCCTGAAAGCCCTGACGGGGGCGCGACGAAAAGTGTTTTGTCATCTAGGGTGACTCGGCAGCCACCTCGATAACAATATGTTCACCTCGTGTCGGCGGGTCTCTCCCGTTGCCATGAGGGACCCGTTGATCCGCGATCGACTAGGTGATGATTATTTCGTCGACATCCGCGTCCCGAGCTTCTGCGTCGGCAAAAACTTTAATCTCTCGAGAGGAACAAAGTAATATATTTCTATATTTTTTTAATATACCAACTTTCTATTTAGATATTTCATCCTTGAAAGGCTCATTAAAACAAAAGGAACAATCTGCATTTTAGGTTTCACCGGCGCGACGTTTTCGTCGACGTGCGTACGTAAAAAACGGGCGAGACGCGTTAGGTCAACCGTAAAATTCCGTCGCGTCTCCGCAACGTGGCGGGCTTAAGTTTTCCCGGTGGCGAAGGTATTTTCGTTGATTTTCGCCGGGACGGCCAAACTCTCTCTCTCTCTCTCTCCTCTCTCTTCTCTCTCTTCAGCAGTGAATTTGGGCAGTCGCCCTCCACGTTTTCGTCCCTCCTCGTTCGTACCCTTCTCTCAGCCCATTCCTCCCTCCCCCCTCTCTCTCTCTCTCTCTCTCTCTCTCTCTCTCTCTCTCTTTCTCGTTTTCGCTTCGGTTTGGCGGGGTGGCACGCTATTGTTCGGGCGATATTTCAGCGGCGGCGGTGGCTGCTAGGGTGGAAGGGCGGGGGTGGTTGGCGGTAGTCAGCTGGCTGTGACACGCTGCCTACCTCGCCAAAGAGGAACCAGAGGCGCTTAGGAGTATCCGGGACGGGAAGGGCGGCGATAGGTCGGGGAGGAGCCCTCGGCTTCATACATGCGCGGCGATACTCTTTCATCTAACGATAGCCGAGGCCTTGACTTTGAAGTGACACCGCGCAACTATCGTCGCGTATTGTATCCGCACCGCGCGAGTCTTCGTTTCGTATATTATTACTGTAGTCTTATTATGGCGAGATGACTTTGATGTTCCTTTGTACGATTGTTGCTTGGATAAATAAGCAGGTTTATCTGTTACGTTTCTTCTCTCTCTCTCTCTCTCTCTCTCTCTCTCTCTCTCTCTCTCTCTCTTCTCTCTCTTTTCTCTCTCTCTCTCTCTCTCTCCCCCCCCTTCCTTCCTCTTCTTCCCTACACATTCCAATATATTCCCCGTAAAAACGCATTAAAAAGAGAGAGTTTCACGTTGCCTCTCTCCTTTCCTTCTGTTCCATTTTATTTTATTAGAACGCCGTTTCATAGTTCGACGATACGAACGCGGTGTGTATTCGCGCCTCCGAGCCACGTTATGGTGAATATTACATGGGATGCAGTATCATCGGATATCGAATTACGATATTGGTATCGACACATCACACAGCTTATAATCTCCGGAATCATTCGCCGCGCGTTTAGATATCCGATCGGCGGTATTGTCAAAATTCACGGCGATTCTTGCACGCCTCCGTGCGCGCGTGTACAGTAATCGCTTCCGAAGTCCTCCGTCGTTTCACTCGGTCGGTCGGACGGATGAAACTCCGTCGACTTACGAGCGACTTGCCGAGCGACTTTACGGCCGCCTTCTGCGCCGTGCAAACTAGCGACCACCACCATCACCACAGCGAGGAGATTGCCGCGCGTACTCGGGTGGGCGCGCGCGCGCGCGCGCGAGAGAGAGAGAGAGAGAGAGAGAGAGAGGCGAGAGTTTAATAATTATTATTCATAAGACTCTCTCGGGAGAGAGTCGACCAGGCGTGAGACTAAGCAAGAAAGATGCGCTGCAAAACAAGAGGGGGTGCCATCGCTTCTTCGAGGCTTGCTTACGTCCTCCTTATCCCTCCGTAGAGGGAAACCAGGATATTCTGCACGACGGGAAGGGGGTGCGCTCGAGTCAGTCGAGCGGAAACCCAATCACTTCCGGCGTCTGCGCCCATTAGGGCGCCGCGACGCTGACGTCGGCTGACGTACGCCCTTCCTCTTCGCGTCTCACTCGCTCGCTACGTCTCTCTCTCTCTCTCTCTCTCTCTCTCTCTCTCTCTCTTCTCTCTCGGTTCACCGTGCCTCCCTTGCCTGCCTATCTCACACTGTATTGAACCCACCACCCTCTTGGACCTCGACCAACATCGAAACAGACCGCAGATCTATTGTTTGGAAAGCGCTCGCATGGAAGCTTCTTCAACGCGGCTAATGACGTATCGAGGATGCCGCTTCCTCCTTACCGGATTTTTCCATCCCCGCCCGCTTGTACGCGTCAGTCTCTCTCTCTCTCTCTCTCTCCCCCCCCTCCTTTCTCTTTCTCTCCCTCCCTCCCTCTCTCTCTCTCTCTCTCTCTCTCTCTCTCGAGTCAGCTGCCGTTTGCCTCCTCGCGATTGTTACAAAGATAACGGATTACGTCAAGACGAAGCCTCTTGTATCAGATCTCAGGTGAAAAGCAAAGAGACAAAAGAGATATTTCGTGATAGCGAAGAAGCGAGAGTATATTGTAAAATGTTGCGCCTAATTAGAGAAATGCGAAGGCGAGGCATCATTAAGTATATACCATATCTGATCATCAAGTATATACCATATCTGATCGTATTATTAACGCTGTTTCGTTTGTGTTTCAGGTTTATCAACGCAAGGCGTAGAATTGTCCAGCCAATGATCGATCAGAGTAATCGAGCTGGTAAGCTGCACCCAGTTTTGTCAACAGACTCACACACATACACTCACGACACAACAAACACGCACGCCAATGGGGCAACTATGTCCGATTATATTAACTCGGTTATACCTAAATATTATGGCATTCCAGATTATCTTGCTCAAGTATACGGTTCTCAGCAGCACGTCGCACAAGAGGAACTTTATCAAACATACAGCCTTCAAGCTCTTTATCCATTTTACGAAAATTATCCTAATTTTTCTGATACAGGATAGATTGCTCGCGTTGACTAGAACAATGGACAAAATTCTATGCTGTGTGATACACACAGCATAGAGTACTGACAACACTCTGAAGGTTATTGATGAAAATTCGCATTTTGCAATTGAAAAAGTTATAAGTTTTATCCTCGATAACTGTTTAATATCGCAATATTAAATTGTTATTTTTCTTTAATTATAATTTAATTTATAGTAGCTTTTTCTAACATCCTGCATATCGCGCTCGAGGATTATACATTACCGAAGAATAGCTGGTTAAAGTTATCTGTTAAAATCTCTGAATCACTCAAAATTGTCAAAATTTCTCGGGGAATTTCTTATATGTATATACATACACATATATAACATTACGAGAAATTCTGTGTTGTTATAAAGAGCTTTGTAATGCCTCAATTTGTATCTTTTTTTACCTTTTTTCATTTAACTAATTTATTGTCGAATTCTATGATATATCACTCTACTTATTCACTCATAATTGACGAAAGAATTAGCGATGGATCTTTAGATAGATGCCCGCGAGACCTCATTTCGTGTTTACGTAGACAGCAAAGACAGCTGACGAGGGAAACTCGATTAATCGTTGACGTTTCGCTGGTAGATCTATCGTATTTGACAATTTTCAACTTAACGCGCAGTAGTCCCGCATCGTCTTTAATATCTAATGTAACCGTGAGACACTCATGCTTCGCGCACTGTCGGATATTCTTGATCATATTCATCAATGAACGAAACATTTCAATCGAATGAAACCTGTAGCGTCGTGTATATTTGTACATCCGCAATATCCGTCGTTTCAAATCAAATCACGTCGCGATTCGATTACCGGCCATTCCACGCTCACGATGAAAACTTGTATCTCGCTTCTCTTTTGCCTGTGTCTGATTAGTATCATATCCAACGTTCCTTTCGCGTCTCGCTATTCAGTAAGTATTATTGCGAAATCAGACTCGTCGTGGACGGGCGACTCGAGCGAATCTCTGCGACTGCCAGTCATCCAGCGAATTTTAGAACTCGAGTAGACCACGAACGCGTTTTCGGCGAGTAAAACATGCACAGCTTGTGACAATTTTTCGCGACAGATTTGCATTAGGAAGAGACTCCGTCCTTGAGTTCTGTGCATACGTGAGGTGAACGCGTCTCTCTCCTGCACAGGAAAAGTACAGGACGCAAGGATTCTCCTTTGGTTGGACAGATCAATACGAGCGGCGAATCAAACATCCGATATTATTAGGAAACCGGATATTCCTCCGTCGAGTAATCTGTAAGGACGACGCGTTTACGAGGAGCGAATCACTTCGTTTGCAGTAAAAGGCGACAACAACGGGCCTTCGTGTTTAGGGTGGGACCGTTTTCTCCTTGTCTCCCTCCCTCTTCCTTCCTCTCTCTCTCTCTCTCTCTCTCTCTCTCTCTCTCTCTCTCTCTCTCGCACCGGCGGGTAGGATTCAAGGGCTCGGTAGTGATTCGGATGATGGCGAGAGGGTTCTTCCGTGGAGCACACAGGGTGGGCAGAGGTGGATAACGTCCCGGATAACGTTCGGATAACACTCGGATAACGGCGGGATAATTGGTAGCGGTGATCAGAGCGAGTTTTACGATCGGGGAACATGCTCCGCCGCCGCAGTGGAAACTCCTCTCACCCTCCGATCGTACTCTCTCTCTCTCTCTCTCTCTCTCTCTCTCGGCCCGTCTTTTTCTTACGTCCTTATCCGTGGTCGACCGCGTCTTTGTCCCGGCCAGCGTCGCGGAAAAGACCGCCAGAGGAAAAGTTCGGTCGAGGGTGGACCGGCTAAACGGTCGAAACGCAGAAAGAGTGAGAGAGAGAGAGAGGGGTGGGGGAGGGAGAAAGTGCGGCCGATTCGCCTCGTATTTTTACGACTGGCCCCCTCATAAACACTCACTGAGTTACGGGTTGTTTGCTCTGCCGAAACTGGGCTTTAGGGGCGCTTTATCCGCCATTCACCATCCGAACGTATCCACGGAACGCGCTCTCTGGGATAGCAAGGAATCGTTCTCTTTTTTCTCCTGTGTTTCCTCTCTCTCTCTCTCTCTCTCTCTCTCCTCTCCCTTCCTCGCCAACTTCTGCGAATGATGGCTCGCGGTCCGCCCTCGCGGACCTTTTGTGCGTGGATGAAAGACGAATCGTGCACAGAAGTGCACTGAACGCTCGAGTATCTCCGCGAGAGAATCTTCCGCGCGCGAGTGCCACAAACGTCTGCGCGTCCCCGAAATTTTATTCAAACTCGCGGACGAATCGCCGATTCGTAAAGATAACGGCGCGTGAGAGAGAGAGAGAGAGAGAGAGAGAGAGAGAGAGAGAGAGAGAGAGAGAGAGAGGAAGAGATCGTGTCGCATCCCGGCGAAGCGAACCTCCTCCCGACGAGATCCCGCAAGCGTCGCGCCGATGACAACCTTCCCTTCCGCGACGAATATTAAATCGACGCTCCACGCGGGCGTCGTCGCACTCGCACTCTTCCTTCCGAGTCGGCGACGTCGATAATCGCGACCGCATACGCGGCCGCCGACGAATTCGAGCGCCGGCTAAAGGGATATATTCGCGAGGGCGGCAGGAGGGCAGCGGCGAAGGGTGGGTGGGTGGGTGGGTGGGTGGGGACTCCCCGGTATCGGGGGACGACGAGAGCCCGGCGACCCGAACGTCGTCGTCGTCCGCATCGGGTAAAGTGGAAACCCGTGTACGCCAGATTATCATCCCGAGTCAATCCTGATCACAGCTCCATCGCGCCACAAACAGGCGACCCGCGCGACCTTTCCAGCCCTTCCGCCCCGGGCTCGATGCCACCGCGTCGCTCCGTTTTCTCGCACTCCGGCCGGGGAACCAGTTTCAGCACGGCGCACCTTTTGCTCTCCGCGCGATTGAAATCGATGGTGTTACGCGCGAGAGCGTCGCCCCTCCACCCTCTCTCCTCTCTCTCTCTCTCTCTCTCTCTCTCTCTCTTTCTTGGCCTCTCCCGCTCCGCTCGTCCTGGCCCGCGCTCGATTATCGCGACGGGGATATTTTCGTGGGTGAAATGGACGCGCAGTAAGGACGGTCGTAGTCGTCGTCCGAAAGTCCGGCGAGTTCGTACGTCTCGCGGCCATTTTTCCGATTCCTCAGAGACCAGAATCATGTCCGTTCCCTGCGCCTGCCCTTTTCCTCGCCCTCTCTTTCTCTTTCCTCTCCTCTTTTTCGCTCTTTCACCACCGACGATCGGCAGTCCATTAAAGCTTAATAGCCGAAGCATTAGGCCCCAGGGCAAATTTTGTTCCAACAGAAGCGAGATAAATGTATCTTTCAAACGACCCCGGTCCCCCGTGAGTGGTGGCGGTATACAAAAATCGTTCCTCCCCTTTGGAGCGATTGCGCGCCGCGCGTCAACGGCCGAGACGTTGTTGGCCGTATCAACTTTGTCAATTTCATCCCGCGCGAGTGAGTGGCGGATCAATCTCGAGTACCGGTTGTCGTCCGAAAGATCCAGATGTGACTGTATAAATAAAAAATACTCGCGTTGTAAAAGAATCCGAATTGTGATGACGCGCCGGATTCCAAGACGGGTCGCCGGGAAATCGCGAGCTGCATCAGTCGCGAACAGTCATCGAGTTAGAGGTATCCGTCGCCGACTCGAAGTCGATCAGAGTGCTTCCCACTCGAAACGCGTGTACCGCATACCTTTTCCATTTCTCGCGCTACGATTCGTCTCTCTCTCTCTCTCTCTCTCTCTCTCTCTCTCTCTCTCTCGCGCGCGCAAGTCCACCCATTAATTACGCGGAAATCCCACGAGCGCCTCCGTTGTCTGTCCACACGTGCTCGCGAATCGTGTCGCAACTTTTCTCACGCGAGCCCCGCGAGAAATCGTATTAGGACACAGTCGCGTTAATTCAGAATGCGTCTCGAGACAACGACGACGACGACGACGACGACGACAACGGCGGCGGCGGCGGCGGCGGCGGCGGCGGCGGCGGCGCACGACTTGCCAGGACTCGTCAGGCATGCATATCCACTTCGGTGCGCTCCTCCGTGTCGAGCTAATGATGCGCGTCGGCCGGATCATCAATCATACTTTCATTACGTGGATCGCAGCTGCTCCACATTGACTTCGCGGCCCGCGGGGCATTGTTATTATTCCGACGAGACGAGAAAGAGGGAGAGAGAGATTCTCTCGACGCGCACGAGCGCGCTAACGCCGCGTTACACACAATGCGGGCGTGCGGGAATTCCTGCTTATCGCCGATAACGGCTGCGGGAGCCATCGCGATCGCTGCAGTTTATGATTCACCTCGCTCTCTCCCTAACGATCGTAGATCCGTATCTGCGCGTCGTTCGCGGTGAATGCGCATTTTTCCTCTTCCTCCTCCTCCTCCTCCTCCTCTTCCTCCTCCCTCCTCCTCCTCCTCGACGTGCGTACCTACCCGGCTGCCTGCGTGGGTCGCACCGACTCCTCTGCTTGGTATTTCAATTTAATGCTCAAGGTTGTCCCGCGAACGCGCTCCGCGCCTGTACGAAAGCCGCGTCCTTATCGCGTCGCGGCACTCGCGTCGTTATCGCGAGACATCGATGGAAAAGTGCAAGCGACGTTCGTCGAACGGACGGCCACGATTTCCCGTTCATAATATAAGTATACGCCGATCCTTTCTGGCGCGGCAGCCAAGCGTCCTTTGTTCCTCGTACTTCTCAACCCGCTCTCGCAGTAGCGCGCGATTTTCGTCCGCGCGCACGTACGTAGGCAGCGAGAACCGGTTTTACGT